CCAGGAAGGCTTTCTAGAGCGCCAAGTGAGCCGAGTCTTCAGACCAAAGAGCCAAAGAACAATCAGTGCACCAGGCAAAGACCACGGGGAGGTCTGTAGGGCATGCAGGGGAGGGCAGGAGGGGGCTGCCAGGTGGACAGGGCCAGGCATACAGCACGGTGTCTACCCTGCATGGAGCTTGGACTTGGCCCTGCCTCCCCGCAGCCTGCACCCCTGCCCACCCAGTATATTCCACAAGCTCCCCAGAGTGGAGCCTGAGGCCAGGATACCTGTCCACTCCTCCAGCCCTACTCACCTGCCCAGGAGAGCCGTCCAGTGCTAGAAGTGAGTGCATCTCCCTAACTTTTAAACAGTTGAGTAAACCATTCTGTAAATGTCTGAACATTATTGTTCCTAACACTTAATGGGTTTACTCACCACACAACCAGCTCCCTCGACATCGCTATTCGGAGCCGTGGACGTGCAGGCGTGAAGCAGGAGAGTGACAAGGTTGGGTCTGTGATTCACAGCAGGATTCCAGTGGCTGTGCGGAGTGGCCCTTCTGCACTGTTTTATGTCCCAGGGGATGTGGCAGGAGCCAGGCGGCCTTGTTTCCATGAGTCACATCTTCCTGCCCTCTCTCCTGAGTCCAGAGGAAAACACTCCACCTAAGCCGATGCTCTCTCTGGTCCAGGAAGGGCCAAGTCCCTTACCATCCAGGTAGGCAGCCTGGGCAAGGAGAGGAGCCCAGTGACCCGCCACCTCCCTGTCCCTGTGTGCGACCCTGGCCAAGTGGCTTCACCTCTCTGAGCCTCGGTCTCCACTTCAGTATGAGGACAAATCTCCTAGCCTGCCTAACTTCCAGGGATGGCGCGAGGAGTGAAGGGGCCTAGGCGGGCATGTGCCAGGGAGCTCTGCAGTGCTGGGAGCCAATCCTGGTTCTACTTATAAAAGACTAGCACATTCCTGGGGACAACTGGCTTAGAACCTGTGATGGTAGATCACAGCACAGCCCACTCTCCCAGTCCCTCCCCCCCCTCCAGTGTGGCTCCCATTCACTCTTCCAGACATGGTGCCCTTTTATGAAATGAAACCCAGAAGGAATTGCATCGGAAAGCAGAGAAAGGAGCCTGCTCTGTCCGGGGCGGGGCGGGGGGGGGGTGAGAGAGGAGACTGCCCCCCACTTGGGCACCCCTACACTTCCTGCCCCACCCTCTCACGAACTTCACCGCTGCCCCTGGGGATCCTTAGAGCCTGCCCAGCCCAGTGTGCAGGCCCGAGCAGCAGCCGTGGGGTGCCAGATGTGCCCGGTCCGGCTCCCCTCTCCCAAGCCCGTGCCACTCACGGGCCCTCGTCGGTGTATAATTCATGGTGGCTGCGCGGACTTTCTTGGGGCTACGCAGTGTTTGTGTTTATAAAGTTAGAGCTCAAAGGTGGCTGACGAGGGAGATGTATTTTTTATAACAATGAATATTTAATTTCCACATCACAGATGAAAAAGACTCTCTGAAGAGGCGTGTGAGAGAGACTCCAGAGAGCAGCCGCTAATCAGAAGAGGGCCTTCTAGCTGGAGCCCCTCCACGTGGCTCACTTTCTTCTTTAACTTCTATTTTTATGTTTTCCTGATTATTGAAGTCTATATGCACATTGTAGAAAGTGTAGAAGACACAGAAACATAAAAAGAGGCAGAGTGGGGGGAAGTCACCCCTAAGCCCCCTAGCTTTTGTCGACATGTACGTACATCCCTTTCCAGTCTTTTTTCTCTGCCTTTTCCCATAAGTAGGTGAGAGAGAATATTGTATAACTACAGTTCTGCATCATGGTGTTGAGATTTTTCTCTTTCATAAACATTATAGTTAATGGGTGGCTCCTTTTCAGCCAAGTGTACTGTAATTCACCAGCCTCCTATTGCTGGAAATGTAGGATGTGCCATGTTTTAATATTATAAACATAGCAGCGATGAACATCTTTGTGCATCATTCTTTGCTACATTTAGGGCTATATAAATGGAAGTGGAGGGTACGAGGTCGTAGGCGACTGGATCTCACGTTTAAGGCTCTCGACACCTAAGGCAAACCCTTGGTTGCTTTCCTGTCTGCGACCAGCTTCCTCGCCTTGGGGCGCATCAGGCTTCCCAAGCCCTCCGGCCTCCTCCAGGGAGCCTCGACCTCAGGTTGGCCGAGGGAGGCCAGGGCCAGGCTCTGAGCCCAGAGGCGCCCCCTCCCACCCCACCATGTCGAGTTCCAAGGGTGTCTCCTAACTGCCTCTTTTCTCTTGTCTTCCTCTGCCCCAGCCTGGTAAAGCCCTTGCGACACTATGCGGTCTTCCTGTCCGAGGAGTCCTCTGACGATGAATGCCAGCGGCAAGAGGGCCCCAGCTCTGGCTTCACCGAAAGCTTTTTCTTCTCCGCCCCCTTTGAATGGTCTCTCCTTCCTCCTTCAATTTCTCTGAGCTCAGCTTGGTGACTCTCCGGGGCCACGTGGGGGAGGGGGGCCGGTGCCGCTTGCCCGTGCGTGTGGGGAGGGCTGTCGGCAGCCGCTGCCTGCCAGTGACCCCATGCCAGCTCGGGGGTGAGTGCCCCCCTTGGGTGCCTCTGCCCAGCCCCGCGGGCTCTGGGGCGAGGGGCGAGGGGATGGGATGGCAGGGCCTACAGCTGGTGAGACCGGAGCCTGAGTCCCTGGCCCTTACCCTGGAGAGTGCACTTGACTGTCAGCTGAAGTGGTTGTTGGTGCCCGAGTCCTCCTCTACCTCAGCACATCTCCAAAAGCTATGGAGGTGGAGGGTCAGCTTTTAAGCTTAAGACAAAAACAAAAACAAAACGTATTGATAGGGAACGTGTATATTATTGCTGACAGATCCAAGTGTTTTACAGATCTGCCTGCCCGTAAGATAATTTTTATTATTATTGTTTGTAGCCTGAGCCTCACACTTATTAAAGAGAAGTTTCGCCCACAATCCAGCCACCCCCCAGTGTTAAGCTTTGGCTGTTTCCCTTCCTCCACCAGTTCTTGCCCCTCTGCCTACAAGTTTTTCAGGGCTGGGATTGAGCAAAGGGACAGCTTTTGTCTGTGGTCGTTAACAAAGCTGTAGTGTCCTTAATGGGAGCCTTTGAGGGAAGAGAGCTGCCCTTCGCTGAACACCCACGGGGCCCACAACCACTACCTTACAGAAGAGGGGACTCTTCCCCTCCCTCCCCTCCCAGTTCCCTTCCCTTGGGCCGGGCCTCTGGGTTCCTCAGGGCACCTGATAAACCCCCCAGCTCTGCTCCTACCATTGGCCCCCAGGGGAAGGAGGGTTCTTAGCCCTTTCTGCCACCAGCTCACCTGCAAGTCAGCCCCCTCCTGATCTCCTCACTTAGAAAGCGGTGGCCTAAGTCGGTGTTGCCCAAATTCCCATGCTACCTTCTCTGTACATTGAATCTTTCTTTAAAATTCTTCTGTTAAAACTTTAATAAGTTAACTTTGTCCTAAGCAGTAATATCTCTGATATCATTGGCCTAATGCATCAATTATCATCTCTACTACTAGTTAAAATAAAGATAGAACCATTGGAACAAGAAATGTTCATGTATCAACTCAAAATCACCTTGCAGGTAAAAATGCTCTGCCTGGGTGACATCCAAGAAGGAATCCCCACCACAGGGTCCAGTGGGCCTCCTCACTCTTTTTTAATTCATCGATGCCTTGATTATTTAAATAGTGAATAGTGCTCACTCCCTTAGCCAGGACCTATGAAAAGGATAGGCTTTTGTGTGTGTATGATTAAAAAGGAAGTGGCCCATGTGTTAACTATACTGGAGCTAAATAAACATAAATTACACAGGAAAAGAAAAAAAAAGGAACTGGGCCATCATAAGTCAAAATAAAATGGTTTCTTTTTAAAGAATACATTTCCTTAAGTGTAAGGCGCACACTGACTTTTCTTTATCCCCTTCATTGTGTTCAAACTTGGTGAAAAGGTCTTTAATTCCTTGGTCAGAAGGCTTAGAGTGAGTGGGGACTTTTGAAGTCTCTCATACTTGGTGTCCATGGCTACCTTTTGCTGTGTGACATAGGGTGAGTTACTTAGCCTCTCTGAACTTGAGCAAGATAACTGAAGGCTGATGGGAGTCCTTGCGGAGAGTCCCCTCTGCGGGGTGTGCCCTGCCCTGGTTCCTGCACGTGGGCCTTTGGGACCAGCAGGTGGCGCCCTTCCCCCACATTACCAGAGCTGTGGGCAGCTTCTGCTGGGACCCAAGGGGCAGAGCCAACCCCAGCCTTCACTAGTCAGGGTTGATCCAGGCAGCCTTCTCCACGTACCCAGTGGTGCCCTGGGGCTCAGGCCTGTGAGAAAGGAAAGTAAGAGGGGCCTCTCGTCCCCTCTGCCTGGGTCAAAGGTACAGAATGCTGTTAACGGCCTCTGTACCTGCCGTGTGCCAGGGAGCACGTTGGTTGGTTCACATAATCACCACCGCTGCCTGCAAGGGAGGTACCCTCTGGAATGGGGGAGAGGCTGAGGTTCAGAGAGGTTAAGAAACTATCCCAAGGTCCCATAGCAAGAGATGGTAAGACCTAGAACAGGTCAGCGCAGGCCAAAGCCCACACGGCTCCCCCTGGGGGTCCTGAGCCACCCTGGGAGACTTTCCCCAGCTCAGTTCCCCATGAGCCACAGGATGGTGGGAGTGCAGAGGCCAGGCTCCGGAATGAGCAGGCTGCCTCTTCCTCTTCGGTCGTGTCCCGTTCCTCACACCTTGTCTGGATGGCCTGCAAGCCCGCTAGCCAGTTATGTGGTGGGTCCTGTGGTTTTCGGGGAAACTAAGTGCAAACTAGTCCTACAGTGAGCAGTAGAATCCAGATGCAGCCCCGGGTCTGGCAGAGGGCCATTGCCCAGACTCCAGCACTCACAGGGACCCCAGGACACTCTCCTGTCCCCAAGCTCCTGGGTGTACTCCGCAAAGCCTGGAAGTTCCTGGGGGTGGGGGCTGCTTGCTCCTCCTGTGGAGGCTCTGGGTGGGAGAATCAGCCTGCTCTGCCTCCTCCCAGGCCTCAGCCGTATCGGACGCTCAAGGAATCAGACAGTGCAGAAGGCGACGAGGCAGGGAGTCCAGAGCGGCGAGCGCGGGAGCCCACGGGCCCTGCCCCGGCTCCTCCTGACCGGGCTGCCAGCATCGACCTTCTGGAAGACGTCTTCAGCAACCTGGACATGGAGGTCCCACTGCAGCCACTGGGCCAGGCCAAGAGCTTGGAGGACCTTCGGATCCCCAAAGACCTGAGGGAGCAACCAGGAACCTTCGACTATCAGGTATGATGCCAGCAGGGACGTGTACCTGCCAGGGCTGGTGCTTTCCACACGTGAAGCAGGTGCCCCCCATGGGATGGGGAAGGAGACCAAGGGAGAAACAGCGACCTTTCCAGGGTCCTCGGCCGAGGCTCAGGGTCGTTCTGCCTGCAAACCCTGCCAGGCAGGCCCGCAGCCCATGATCCTGTAGAAACGTTACAGCTGATGGAAATCGGCCCCTCGTGTCCGTGTGTGCGTCAGGCAGAGGTGTGCTGCCACTCCAGCTCACCCTCCCAGGACCCCAGTCCCACCGAGTCTGCTCGGAGATTCCTGGGTTCTGGATTATTTGCATGGGACCACTGATCGTCCATCATGACTTGCGATCTGTCACATTCCCTCTCTGTGCCTGTTTCCCCACTTGCAAGTGGAGGCTGCTGACGGAGTGGCTGGGTCTATGGATTCATGCGCGCCCTCCCTGCCCCTGACGCCTAGGTCGTGTCGCTTGTGAGTGGCAGAGCCAGGACAGGAGCTCAGTCCTGTTTCCCTGCCAACCAGGGAAGACACCTTTGCCATGCCCTGTGCCTCACTCGTCCTCGAGTTCCCAGGTGATTAAAAGTGCCCACATGCTTTGAAAAGTGAAAAAGTCCCAGCCAGTAGATGGTCAATAAATGGAGTCATTTTCCTAAAAATTCTTGGCAACACTGACGTAAAAGGACAAGGGCTTTTTCTGGAATCCCTCTGTGCAGTGAGAAAAAAGCCCGGCATGGAGTCTGAAAGGTGAGGACAACAGTGAGGAAAGCCTGGGCTTGGCGTCTGGACAGACCCGGGCTCTCTGCTGGTGACCTGGGCCCAGCCCCCCGGCTGCCCTGAGTCCCAGGGCCTGATCAGCCACATGCCTGGGGCTGGGGACCTGCTGCCTTCCAGTCTGTCCGGAGCAGTCTCTGGTCACTGCCTCCCTCCTTCTCTCCCCCAGAGGCTGGACCTGAGCAGGAGTGACAGGAGCCGCGGGATGCCGGTGGCCTTGAAGCTCACCCACCCATACAACAAGCTCTGGAGCCTGGGCCAGGACGACATGGCCATCCCCAGCAAGCCCCCAGCCACCTCCCCCGAGAAGCCCTCAGCCCTGCTTGGGAACTCCCTGGCTGTGCCCCGCATGCTGCCGACCCAGGACAGCATCCTGAACCCCAGTGACAAGGAGGAGGCGCCCACCCCCACTCCAGGCAGCATCACCATCCCCCGGCCCCAGGGCAGGAAGACCCCAGAGCTGGGCATCGTGCCTCCGCCCCCCACCGCCCGCCCAGCCAAACTCCAGGCCGCCAGCACCGCCCTCGGGGACTTCTCCTCAGATCGGCTACAGGCCCTGAGCCGGGCCCCGTTCCCCGGGCTCCTCCCTAGTGCTACCCCCCAAGGACCCACCGAACCGCTCCAGCCGCTCAACCTGGCCCCCGGGGCCGCAAGCTCGAGCAGTGACGCCCTGCTGGCCCTCCTGGACCCACTTAACACAGCCTGGTCAGGCAGTACTCTTCCACCGGGCCCTTCAGCCCCAAACATAGCCACCTCCTTCACTCCCCAGTTTAGCTTCCCCCCAGCAGGGACCCCCACCCCCTTCGCGCAGCCATCACTCAATCCCTTCATCTCATCTGTGCCCACGGCACTGCCTGCCATGGCCCTGGTCTCCACACCGGCCGGGCCTTTCGGGGCCCCTCCTGCTTCCCTGGGGCCAGCCTTTGCGCCCAGCCTCCTACTGTCTGGTTCCGGCCTCTGTGGCCCACATAGATCTCAGCCCAACCTGTCTGCCCTCTCCATGCCTAACCTCTTCGGCCAGATGCCCATGGGTGCCCACACCAGTCCCTTGCAGCCCCTGGGCCCCCCAGTGGTCGCCCCTTCAAGGATCCGAACATTGCCCCTGGCCCGCTCAAGCGCCAGGGCTGCCGAGGCCAAGCAGGGGCTGGCCCTGAGGCCCGGAGATCCCCCTCTCCTTCCTCCCAGACCCCCACAGGGCCTGGAGCCAGCACTGCAGCCCTCTGCTCCTCGAGAGACCAGAGACCCCTTTGAGGATTTGTTACGGAAAACCAAGCAAGATGTGAGCCCGGCCCCGGCCCCAGGCTCAGTAGAGCAGCTCAGGAAGCGGTGGGAGACCTTCGAGTGAGCCAGGCGCCGAGCGAGGGCGAGCCGGGCCCAGCCATGCGCCGCCGGCCGCTGCGCCCCAGGCCAGCCGGCCCTGCTTCCCCTGCTCCGTTTCTGCCCAGGTTCTGCTGGTGGGAAGGGATGGGACCCCCGTCTGCCGCCCCTCCTCCCCTACACACCACCCATCTCTGAGGTCTGGCCGCTAGAGAATGGTGCCAGTTCTGGCCTGGGAATGGTCCCAGCCCCTGGGCACCCACCCCACCCTGCCACCACCCCTTCCTGCACCCCTGAGTAGGTTTTGCACTAAAGAGGTCAGCTGGGCGAATGACTGCCCCAGACCCAGCCCCACCTGCCTTCCCCCTGGAAGCCTCCCATCAGGAGCCCCGAGGCTCCACAAGGCCTCTCCTCCCCAGCCCTGTTCCCTTGGCCCAGCTACAGCGTGGCCCTGCGCACCCCACTGGGACCAGCACAGACAGCCGTGCTAGCCTCGGCCTGCGTGAGGGCGTCTGCACCAGACACGTGGTTTGGAGTTCGGCGTAAGGAGAATATACCTACCTGGCGGGGCATTTCCAAACCCTCTCTAGCAATACACACGTTCTTTCTTTGTCAGTCTTCACCCCAACCCTCAACCTTCAGTTGTTTCTGGCTTGGTAGGGATTTGGGGCCGAGGGATCCTTGGGAACCCTCTGATAGCCAAACAGCCCCAGCCGGCCCTGCATGGAGGCTGGGAGCACCAGCAACTCTGATTTGTAAGAGAAAAAAAAATAGCAGCAGGTAAATCGAGTGCATTAGGAGGAGTCAGGCCGCCGTTCTGTGTTCTCCCTCTGGTTGCTGGGTTTCTCCAGGTCTCCAGTGTTACTCAGATGGGGCTCAGCCTCTTGTCACCTGGGACTGCGGGGGCAGAGCTGAGAAGCAGGCACCCAGATTCCAACTGGGAAGACCAGCTTCATGCCACAGGCTGATGCAGGAGGCCCAGCTGCCCAGGCTCCCTGGGTCAGGAGCGGGCAGGGGCACTGAGCCCTTCTCCAGGCCCTGGCGGAGTGGACAAACTTGGCTTCTCGCAGCTTGGAGGCAGGAGAAGGGCCAGGAGCCACCCCCTCCCCCGCCCACGTAGCATAGAAATTCCTGAGGCCAACGTCACCAAAGCTCAATTGAAATGTTTTGTTATTGTTTCTTTTATCTATCTTTTCCTTTTTACTTTATTGATTTGATGAATCTTAAAATTGACTAGTTTCAATAAACCGAGTTAAAATATGGCCCAACCATTTAAGAAAACAACCATCTGAGACATGCAGGAAATTGTGAGCGTTTTGACCTGATTTCTCATTTCCTATTTGTGAGTGGTCAGACACACAGCCTCAGAGGTGTCTGACTGAGCAAGGGGGCTCTGGAGGCCCCTCTAGCCCTGGGGAGCTTTGTCCCGGTCTGAGGGACCCTGTGTGGGTCGGTGAGGCCTGGAGGGCGGGCCCTGAGGTTCTCAGACGCGGGGTGTGACGAGCTGCTGGCCCAGCACAGCGCCCCTTCCTGAGTCGGTCACGGCCCCCTGGGCAAGTGGCTCTCAATCTCGGAGTGCTCTCTGGCTGCTGAGGTGGAAGGGGGAGCCATGGGATATCTGGGCACGTGGGCACCCCCAGGCCTTTCGGGTGTTTCCATACAGGTTCCAGATCCACCACCCATCCTGGGCAGACCCCTGAGCCCTGTCCGCAAAGGAAAGCCTCCCCTCCCCACCCCACCCCCGTAGGCAGGGTATGAGATAAGAGGTACGGTGGGGCCCCAGGGAAGCGGAGCCCACCCCGTGGTCTGTCTCCCCGGCTGTGCTGGGGGCTGGTGGTGAGCCTTCCACGTTCCCAGGAGCATTGTTGTCTCTTCACTTGCTGGACTGAATTTGCACCCAAGGATGAATGTTGTGTGTGCGTTCAATAAAATCTTCTTGGGGAGAAGGTTGGTATCCCTGTGTCCTGAGGAAGCCCTGGGGGAAGGGGAGGGCTCAGAGCAGTCAGGGAAGGATTTGACCCCTAGCCCACACCCCAGCTTCTTCCATTTGAGCCTCTGAGCCCAGGCCCTTCCCTGTCCCAAGCAGGGCGGGGGCGGGGGGAGCTGGTCACAAGCATGCACAGGCTTGGCCAGTCCATGGAGTGAGGCTGCCGGTCACAGATGGTGCTGAGAGTGCCCAGACTCCAGAGAACAGTTCAAGAGAACAGCAGAAAATTCAGCCCCATAGATCTCTCATTAGCAAGGGCAGAGCCTTAGAACCAGCAGCTCTGTTGAGTGTTTGTGTTAGGAGATCTGGACCCAGAGGTAGTGGTAAACACACCCAGTCCCCCATCATCTGGTCATGCCCCCCTCCCCAGGCTGCCCTTGAAAAGGACAGGTGCCAGAGCTCTTAGGAGTGAGAGAGGACAACATAGGGCTCCCCAATAAAGTGGCACTGCTTTTATTTATTGGGGTTTCATGTGTCTTAGAGGAGTCTGCAAGAACACAGGTTTGCCAAATCCCTGATTTAATAAAATCACCAAGGCACTGGCTGTGGCTAAGTTGCTGGCACCAGATGTTTCCTCCCCCACTTTCCCAGGAGTCATGATGGAGAAAGTTGGGGGAAAGGTACCGCCTTGTACAGGATAAGGACAAAGCGAGCCTCTTAGCCTAGTGTTCAGGGCACTTCCTGTCCCAGCCTCGGCTGAACCCCTCAGTCTCGGCCACCCACATGCTCCCTTACCCCCCCATCACCACATGGTTCTACTTCAGATTTTGAGGCCTCTGCCTCTGGAAGCTGGTGAGACCCTGAGGGGAGCTGGGTAAAGTCAACTAAAAGTGGAAAGGGGTCTCCTGGCCTTGGCACAGGAGGCACTGGCCTGAGAAACAGGAAGGACGGAAGGGCATGTCTCGAGATCAGGGAGGAAGGGACTTCATGAGACTAGGAGGAGGCCAGGCACTGGGGGGGGCGGGGGGGTGGAGATGCCCCTCTGGGATCAGTGGATGGCATTGCCAGGGAAGGGACTGGAAGCAAAGCACATTCCTCCTCTGCATCCGTGTCTGTCTGCAGGACCAGCCCCGACACAAAGAGGCAGTGCCAACATCTGCTGAGTTCAGCAAACAACTCTGAGGGCTTTCTGCGAATCCTGAATCCCACCCCCACCCCCACCCCAACACATACACAGCCATTTAGAGAGGTGACGGGCACTGGAGAATGAGGTGGTCAGCACAGGGCTGGCGGGGCGGGGGGGAGCGGGTGGTTTGCTCCTTCATCCTCTGGCCTTCTTGCCCCCCCCCAGGAAAGCCCCTTCCCCCACTTTCTCTCAGCTCCAGGCTGACAACCCTTCCTGAAACCTAAAAGGGCGACCCAGAGAGCCTAACGGCACTGAGGCCCCGAGCTCTTTCCCCATTGCCGTCGCTGATCCTCACAGCTGCCCCGTGAGGTAGGCAGAGGCTGCCACCACCACCCCCACCCCCGGCCAAGGGGTGGCAGCTCCGGGCAGCCTGTCCTCCGCTCCTGCAGATCTGCCCTGGACGCGCTCTGTGTTCCCACACGTCCCGTCTCTGGGGCCGCGGGCTCATGACCCCCTCCCCCAGTTTCCCAGCTGCCTCCAGCATGGGGGCAGCCTCCAGAGCTGCAGAGGATGCTGGAGCTGGGGGGCTGGGAAGGGGATTCCCCCCAACCCAGCCGCCCCTCCGTGGGATCGCGTGCACCCACAGCAGAGACACGGACATGCCCACGAACCCCGTCCCCCAGGGACACCATGTGTGCCCACGGTGCTCCTCCCCTGCACGGCGGTGTGCTTGCGGAGACAAGAGCCGGCGGGGCCAGTGGTGCAGGGCACAGCCTTGCCAGCACCCCCCCCCCCCCCGCCGGCTTCCCTGAGTGCTCCCCTCTCCTGTCCACAATGGGGCAGAGGCGGGGGCCGCCAGCTAAGGCGACGCTTCACCAGCAGACACCCTGGGCCCCGCAGCGGCGGGAGGAGGCCAGCCATGGGGCGCGGCCTCCTGGGGTCCTCGGGTAGAAATCATCTGGGACCTCATGGGTGCTGGAGCCGGCAGCCGGGCAGGCCTAGATGAGTCTCTCCTCTGGCGGCACCTTGAGGACACTGTCCATCTCCAGCCGGGCTCCGGCCACCTCCTGCTGGCTGGGGCTGTAGGTGCCCTCGGACTGGCGGCGCTTCCTGGCCGCCAGGACCCCTGACAGGAGGCCCAGGAGGAGGAGGAGGAGACAGGCGCAGGCCGCGGGCACGGCCGCCTCCAGCAGCGGGAATGGCAGGGACAGCGGCAGGCCCTTCTGCGAGAGATGCGGTAATGAGGGCTGGGGCCGCGGGGTCCGTGCCAGGGCGGGCGGGCGGGGGGGTGGTACCTAAACTTCACAATGGTCTAATGAACAGGGGTGGGGGTCCTCTGTCACTCCCGGGAGGGAGGACAGGAATCTTTGCTTTGTTCTGTTTACCAGTAAATTCCAAGTGCCCAGAGCAGGGCTTGCCTGGTAGCAGTCGGTAAGGAGTAAAGGAGAAAGCAGACGCTTTGCCCAGATGCCCCAGACACGTGACCAGCAAGCCAGGACTGGCAGTCTCCTCCGTCTGCCCCCAGGGCCCATGCCATGCCCACGCCACCATCCTTCAGCCTTGAATTGCAGCCGCAGGCCCTTCCTTCCCTGGCCAAAGTGGGCCCTGCCACCCAGCCTCCCTGCAGTAAACTCATCCAGTCTGAGGCGGTGGGGACTTGATCCCTCCCCATCCCAAAGGGTGGTCTGGTTTTTTAGTGGCTGTGGAGACCACACTTAACCCCAGTGGGAGGCCTCTCAGGCAGCAGTAGGTAGGAGAGGCTCCCCAGCCAGGTGGCCTGTGCAGGGCAGGAGCGGAGGTGGGGTCACCTAGCTGAGGGTGAGCTCAGAATCCACCAGGGTGTGCCTGGCTAGGGAGACTGAGACCAGGCTTTGGGGAGCCCAGGAAACCTCTCCATCTCCAGTCACAGAACTAGGATGCCCCCATCAAAGGCCTGGAACTTCGAAGCCCCCAAATCACAGAATTCCCAGCTTCCAGAGCCCGAGGGACTCAGACTCACCGGCCCTCCCTCTGTCCTGTGAAGCCTCTCGGCCCACTGGGACCTGGGTCCCAAGTCCCAGTACCCAGCCCTGAAGGAGGAAAGGTACCCAGGGCTGGAGAGAAAAGTTCATACCAGCTCGGAATGGGCCATCCCCAGCCTCTACCCCTGGGTACTTCTGGGAGAGCTGTAAAGTCATTTCCTCCCTTGGCCCTGTGAGGAGGGGGGGGGGGGGGGGGGGGACCAGAGGCTGTAAAGTTCAACTTGAAAGGAAACATTCCCCAGAAGCAGAGGGGATTTGCGGGTTTATGACTGGGGCTGCCAGAGGCCTGTGGAGATCAAGGCTCCTCCCCAGGCTTCCCACCAGCACCCAGGTGGGCTCACTGCCCACTGGGCCTGCGGCGCTGGTTCCGCCCCTTGGTGGGAAGGGGGGGGTCAACGGGGAGGTTCAAGCTCAAGCTACCTGCTGGCCGCCATCGATTGGGGCCCTGCTCAGCTGAGCCTCCCTGGCTGCTCTGGCTCAGAATCGCGGCCTCTCCAAATCCTACTCTAGAAGCCTGGCCCCCAAACCACTGGAGATTACAGGCTCTTGTATCCACCAGCCGAAATCCCAGAATTCCAGGATCCTGTGGGTCCTGAGTCCTGGTCCCAGAGAGGACTTGGCAGAGCCCAAGTGTTTCACTGAGCGATGGTGGGGCCTCCCAGGCTCGCCCTGAGTCTCCCGCCCTACTACTCCCCGCCCCACGACAGGGCTGGTCCAGGAAAACAGCACCACGAGGGCTTTAGGTGCCCCCACACCCCCAAAATCATCTCACTAAAGTCCAAATCAGGGCACTCGCCAAGCCCCCCTGGCATCACTCACCACCACTTCACAGAACTGGCCTGAGAACCTGGCACTGCAGATACATTCATACAGCCCACCAGCCGCCCGGCAGGTGCCGCCATTCAAGCAGGGGTTGGCCTCACAGGGGATCGGACACCTGGCCAGCAGAGAAGGCGAGGCTCGGAAAGCTGCTCCCTCCTTGCGGTCTCCTGTTCCCCCATCTGCTTCAGCTTCTCAACACAGCCCCCCCAAACACGCAAGTGTCCTTCCACGGTCGCCATGCATGGTCCCCACCCGGCAGGGCCCTGCTGGGTGACTGAGGCCGACTGTGACCCCCACCACCACCCGCCCCTTGCCCCAGCATTCACGACGGACAATGGCCCACCCAGTCAGAAGCGCCGGGGAGCCTGTGTGAGGGCAGCTGCCTGGGATGGGGATACCCTCTCTCCGCAGTGGGCCCAGAACCTGCCCGTTTACAGGCTCCCTGGGCAGTCCCGATGCAGGTGGGCTGAGGATGAGGCTCTCAGAAGCACCACCAGGCAGCTGCCTCCCCCCATGATGGCATAACAGATGGCCTTGGGAACCCCGGGAGGAAAGAACGCAAGCGACAGAGGTGGGCCATCTGGCACCGTGGGCACGGTGAGGGCTGAGAAGGTGAGCAAGGATCCACACCCCACCCTGCCTGCCCTGCCTGGAGGGGACCCAGAACCCCCCCCGCCCGGGTCCCAGGCCCCCCCCCCGGGGCCCCCAGGCCCACCTCTGGCCAGCAAAGCCCCCCTGGCAGCTGCAGTTGGCCCCCTGGGGCCCACCCTCACAGGGGCCACCGTTGAGGCAGGTGAAGTTCAGGCTGCATTCCTCCGGCAGGACAGGCAACCTGGGGAGAAAGCACAGAGGCTGCACCGGGGGTAGCAGGCTGGGGACCCGGCCCGACCCCCCGCCCCTGGGGCTATCACTGGCCACCTGAGCTGTGGGATTCAGGGCCCACCTGCCATGGACCCTGATAGCGATCATGGAAGTGGCATCTGAGGTGGAAGGGAGGGGGAAGAGGGCTGTCCTGCGGCTCCAGCCCCACCCCCAACAAGGTGTAAAACCTCCAGAGCCTGGATGGGACCGGCTCCCCATGCTCAGAGGTCTTTGAGAAGCTGATGAATGTCCGGACTCTCCTCGGAACACAAGCATGTTCCTAAACATAAAACTTGGGCCTGACATTCCTCCCGGGGGTGGGGGAGGCACGCCTCTGCCAGACAACCCTCCATAAGCTTGGCTCCAAAGGGAGAGGGGAGTCAAAACCAGACTGAAAAGGGGGAACATCAAAGCCTCTACCCGGCTCACTCTGGCCCCGTCATCCTCACGGGACTAATGGGGATGAGCATCGGTGGCCGGCGCCGGCCAGGCAGGGAAGCCTCCAGGTTTGCTTCCAAATCTAGCTCTGGGATCCCCCATCCCCTACCCCCCACCCCCGGCCAGGAGCGTCACTGATCTCAAATTCAAACTTATCTGGGTTTTATCTGGCAACGCTAGGGGACTGCTGTTCCCATTTCACGGACGAGGGCACGGAGGCTCAGAGAAGGGAAGTGGCTGGTCCACAGAACCAGAGCTGCGGCTGCGGCTGCGGAGCCCGTGGACTTGGGTGCCCCACCCCACCCCCGCCCCGGGAACCCACCGGGCCCCTGGGGCCCAGGCTCCCCCCCAGCCGTCCGCACCTGCAGCGCGGGCCGACGAAGCCAGGCGGGCAGCGGCACTCGAAGCGGCCGTCGGGGCGTGAGTGGCAGCGACCGCGAGCACAGGGTGCCGAGCGACACGGGTCGGCGCGGGCCTCGCAGCGCGGGCCCTCCCAGCCCGGGCCACAGGCGCAGGCGAAGGCGTCGAAGAGGTCGCGGCAGGCGCCGCCGTGCAGGCAGGGCGACGGGACACACACGCGCGCGCCGTGGCAGCCGAGGCGTGGGGCGGGCGCCCCGGGCCAGGCCGAGAAGTGCTCTCGGGAGCCGGGGGCCGCGCCGGGTCGTGGGCGCGCCAGGGGCAGCGGGAGGCCGCCGACGGCCACGCGACCCAGGCAGCCGGTGAAGTTCTCGGCCAGCAGCACGCGGGCGGCGCCGGGGCCGCGCAGGAAGCCCAGGTCGCCGGCCAGGCCGCGCAGCGCCACGGGCGCCGACGCCCCGTCCAACCAGAGCAGCCAGCGCGACGCGGCGGCCACCGGGCGCTCCATGGCCAGGCGCACGCGGTGCCAGGCGCCGTCGGCCACGCGGGGCCCGGAAGCCGGCAGCACTGCCCCGGGCAGGCCAGGGCCGCTGCGAACGCCGGCCACCAGCGAGCCGTTGCGCACCGCCAGCCAGACGGCCGCGTGGGCGCCCGCGGTGGCGCGCAGCAGCCCGGCCTCGGAGTCGCGCGTGCGGAAGGCCAGCGACAGGCCGCTGAGCGACAGCCCCGATGATGCGTTGTGCCCGCTGAAGGCGGCCGCGGGGCCCTCGCGGAACGTGGCTTCGGCCACACCTGCGGGGAGAGGGAGCGTCGGGGAAGGGCCCACGGGCACCCACCCCGGGCCGAGCCCGCGGGTGACACACCTGCCGCCCCCACGGCCCCCGCCCATCTCAAGGGGGCACACCCACCCACCCATCATTCAATGCCGGGAACCATCGCCCCCACCGCCGTGGCTTCCACCGCTCACAATTCCCTACCTCCGAGAACCAGCTTCTGCGGCGCTGGGGAGACCCACCCTACCCTCCAGGTCACAGACCAGGCAATAATAATGCCTCTGCCCCCTTCCCTCTTCAGTGGAGTTGCTCAGTCTCATCACTGAGGCCCATTATTCACTGCAGTCATCTTTCTTGAATGCAGATTTTTAAAATGCTGATCATGCATTTTAATAAAATGCAGTCACCTTTCTAAAATGCTAATCATGTCCCTCTCCTGCCTAAAACCATCCCATGGCTCCCCACTGCCCTTGGGGAAAAGTTCTGAGCTGCCTGGCCTACCTCTCAAGGCACCTCCTGGCAACATCTCGACTCCAACACCCTGATAAGAACAACTGATTCAGTTGTTCTTATAAACCCCAGGATCTTTGCATATGCTGTTGCTCCTCCTTAAAATGTCCTCCCCTATGCCCAGTCAGTCTTACTTGTCCTTGGAAACCTGGTGAATGCTGTCTTCAGAAAACCTGTCCCTCTGGATGCAGTGGCCTACCCACACTGGGGGCTGTTGGCATCCTGGTCCACTGCCTAGGAGCCCTCAGGGCTTAATCCAGCCTGGGTGTCCAGAACCCAGCATGTGGGCTGCCCGGAGCACACACTCACAGACAAAGCCACCAGGGACCTCCTCACAGGCGGCAGGTGGGAGGCAGGGCTGGCCAGGACACCACAGCTGCTGAGCACACGTTGGCCCCGTGAAGTTGACAGGGCAGGTGCAGTGGAAGTCATTCCAGGTGACGAGACAAATTCCACCATTGAGACAGGGGTCAGGCTGCAGAAAAATCAGGGCAGGGATTGGCTCAGGCCTGGGGCTAGCATCATCCTACCATAACCATCACTGCAGTGGCTCTTCATTGAGCACCTACTACAGACACATTAACTCCTCACAAACACATAGAGAGGAAGTCACTATTGTCCCCATTTTACAGATAAAGAAACTGAGGTTCAGAGAGAAGCCACTTGCCTGGCTCATCCAGGCAGGAAATAGAGGAGCCAGAGTTCACACTCAGGCCATTCCAATGCCAAGGCTGGTGTTTTGTCCATGGACCCAAGGATGTCCCCGTTCCCCAAGCAGCTCCTACAGAAAGGCTCAGGCAGCCCTCTGCGTGGGTCTGGGTGTCTGTCTCACACCAAGACTGGGGAGGGAGGTATGGGGCCCACAGAGGGCAAGAGCAGCTGGGCCAGAGAGATTAAACCTGCTCTGCCACTCTCTAGCAGTGGGAACTTGGGCAGAGTGCTTTACCTCCTGCCATTTTCCTCACCAGAAGGACATGCTAACCCTCAGAGATGCAGGGTAGACCCTGAGAAAGGGAGCCACCCTTCTTCCCGGGGAACTCACACTGCACGTGTCCTCGGAGACGCAGCCCATGGTGAGGTTCCAGGACTGCCTGCTGCCCAGCTCGCTGGGCTGGCTTGAGTTCCCCAGCAGCAGCAGAAAGAACGGGAGGTGGAGGTCATTGAGTCTCAGGTCCTGGAGGCAGCCTCGGAAGGGCCCACCCCAGGGCTCGGCATCAGCAGGGAGGAGCCTCCCACCCACGTGCACCTGCTGCCCCAAGCCCTGCAGCTGGTCAGGCCCGAAGCTGAGCGTCACCAGGTGGCGGAGCCCATCATCCCAGCGCCCAGGAAGCACCAGAGTAGGACTGCCCAGCACCTCAGCCTGGATCTGGCCCTCGCTCAGGAATACTGTTAGGCCAGCTACTGAGTCGTTGGCAAGTTGGAGCAGCAGGCCAGCAGGTTCCCGAGTACGAAGGAGAAAGGACACGGTGAGGTTGGGGCCTGGCAGCTGGTGGAGCAAGAAGGAGGCAGAGCTCAGGGTGCCCCCCAAGCCAAAGGTGGCAGCAGGAACCTCTGCAGGGAGAGAGGGTGTCGGGTGTGAGGCCTGTGGGCTAGGGGAAGGCACACTCCCTGCCCCGGTGAGGGGGGGCCCACCTGCCTTGCTCCTCACCATCAGCGCAGGTAGGACCACTGTAGGGCCGGGGGCATTTGCAGTGGAAGTGAGCCCACATGTCCACGCAGGCCCCTCCATGGGCACAGGGTGGAGGCTGACACTGCTCACGGCGCTTGCAGCCCAGGAGGACAGTCTCGCCCAGGTCCTCGGGCAGCAGGAGGTGCCCGTCCACCTGCACGTCCTCGAGGCAGCCTTCAAAGGCTGTGCCACCCAGCTGGGCGGAGCAGAACCTGGCAGGCGTCAGCGCTTCGGAAGCCACGGGAGCTGAGGCCACAGGACCGGAGGCCACACAGAGCTGGGCAGGGCAGTCCTCATGCCAGAGCCGCAGCTCCAGGACGGCCGGGCGCAGCGAAACCTCCACTCTGTGCCAGTGGCCATCATTTAAAGCCAGGTCCGGCAGCTTCAGGGTAAGCCCGGTGGTGTTGCCGTGGCTCCAGAGGGTGGCCTGAAGTGTGCCCCCCTCCAGCGCCAGCTCCAAGCTGTCCTGGGTGTCAGCGCGAGTGGCCAAGGCACCAGCAGGTAGTGTGGTACGAAACCTCAGTGCCAGACCCCGGGGGCCGCCAGCCGGCACGGTTGTCTGCACAGGGCTCCCAGCCACCACAGAGAAGGTGGTATTCTGGCCACAGAAAGGGCCGTGGGTACCGGGTGGGCAGCGGCAGGCATAACTGTGCGTGCCAGCCTTGAAGGTGGGGATGCAGGTGGCAGCCGGTGGGCAAGTGTGGCCCTGGCAGCCGGTGAGCCGCACGGAACAGTCATGCCCACCCCAGGCCTCCGGGCACCTGCAGACGTAGCCCGCCACAGTGTCATCACACGTCCCACCATGGAGGCAGGGCTCCGACAGGCATTCATCCACATCTTCCTGACATGCCAGGCCTTCGGGAGAGACCACACCAAGGCTCAGCACTCAAGGCAAGAACGAAGCACTCAAGGCAGAGCTTACATGCCTTTTGGGATGGGGATCTCAGCATCTAGCAACTGAACGAATTCCCAATCCCCAAAGGATTTCTCATGGTCCCCTAAAGTCCCTGGAGGCTGGAATCCAAGATACCCTTTCCTTTCCCGTATTTGGTGGGTCTCTGTGCCCCATGGATTCAATCCCCTAAACACTCGCTGGTCTCCCCTTTTCTCCCACCCCACCTCTGCCTCACCAGCTCACAGGTCCAGGTCTAGCGTCCTCTACTTTGCCTGCCTTCAACCCCTCTACCATCCATTTCCTCAAGTAGCCAGAGGCCTATTTCTAAAGCATCGCCTGGCCAGATTCCCCTGCTGCTTAAGGTCCAATCACTCACCCTGGCACTCAACATCCCTCAGGGGCTGGGCCCTACCAGGCCCTCAAGTCTCAACCCTGCTCCCTCCAGACCTTGAACTGCCTGTTCCCCCAAGCATTTCCTGGAAAACTTTTCCCTGGGGCTTTGCTCATACTGTTTCCTCTGCTTGGAATGCCTTCTCCTCACTTACCCCGCTGGTCAAACTCCTACTCATCCTGCAAAGCCCAAATTCAAAGGGCCAGGCCCCTAGGAGGCTTTTTCTCTGATTTCCAACCCCAAGCTCTGTGTCACTCCCAACTCCTTGCCCACTCCCAGACACAGTTCCCCGAACCCTGTACTGAAAGAATCTGTTTACTCAGCTGAGATCTCCTCTGGAGGCCTGAATATGTTCTTGGTGCCCAGCAAAGGGCCTGGCATGGCTTTTGTGGACAGAGTGTCAAAATGGAGGAGGGAGTGGGGTGGATGTATGCATCTAGGCTCCATCCCCCAGTCCCTCTGCCCTATCACCCCATGCTGACTATGGAGGGGCCACCTCACCCTCCCCTCCAGAAGCTCCCACACCAGGTGCTCTGGCCACAGCTTGGGTCAAGAGGCCACAGCCCAACCCCAGCTCAGCCAGAGCCTCCACAAAACAACCAAGGCCAGCCCTTCCCACCATACCCCAGCTGGAGGAGCCCAGGGCCCAGAGAAGCCACCAGGATTTGAATCCTGACCCCAGTCAGCCCCCAAACCCCACAGCCTCCTTTTGAGGACAGCCGGCCACACCTCATCCTGCCCAAGGCCCCAGCCCTGCATACCTGCCAGGAGCCACAGGACCCCCGGGAAAGTCCACAGAGCCCACGGCCCCATCGCACTTCCCCACGGATGGCCAAGAGTGGCGGGCGGGTCGTGGGCCGGGGGAGCAGAGCTCCCCGCCTGACTGGCCGCCTCCTTCGGAACCGGCTCAGGAATGCCAGGCACTGGCCTCCCCCAGACCGGCACGACCCAAAGGGAGGATGGGGGTGGACAGTGGCAAGGAGCCCAGCCCTACGGTCGGGGTTCCCCTCCCGGGCCCTGACCTCAGATCTGACCTCCCTGTCACCCATCAGATGAGCTCAGCTGGGGGAGGAGCTGGGCTCTGGCTGACACTGGTGAACCGCAAGGAAAGACACCCCCTCTCTCAAGCCTCTGTTACTTCATCTGTAAGAACCCTACCTCATGGGGGTGCGATGAGGAGGGAACGAAATGCCCAGAAAGGCTCTTCAGGGGCAGCGCACGCCGTGGTGGGCCCGCTGTGGTGCCTGCAAGGCCATGCTCCCAGGCAGGACTCAGGGAGTCTCAGCCCACAGGGGCAGACGATGGGTTTCCCCGGCGGCCACCCCAGGGCGAGGGACACTGAGCCCAGCATGTCTGGGCCGCTGAGGTGGGAGGGAGGGTGGTGATCGCCACCTCCTTGCTCTGGGGGGCGGGTGGGGGAGCCAGTGCCCAGGAGGCCTGCCAGGGAGAGGAGCCCGTGTGCCCAAGCAGGAATGCGGGCGGGCACGGGGGAAGTGTCGCACGCATTCCAGAGGGGGCAGGGACACTCGAGGAGGATGTGACGAGTTCTTTGGGCTCACCAGCGTCCATGGAAGGGTATCTGCGCGTCTACGCATCTGCTGTGCCCAAGGCAGGGAGAGCTTTTCTGCATCCCAACTCCTGCCCCATAGGCCCCAGCTCCTAGAGGACAAGCTCACCCTTCTATCTGTGATGCCCCCATTTACCTCTTCTGTCCTCTTCCTGCAGGCCCCTCGGCCTCTGCCCGGCCCTTGGATGTCAGGTGCTTAGGGTTCTCTTTGCCCATCACTCCACACATTCTCCTGGACAGTCTTGGCCACCCGTGGTCCTAGCTGCCAGGACTGTACTCCTGAACCCCGGTCTCTGGCTTTTCCTGGGCGCCAGACCCTGGACCACCAGCCCCCACCCTGGCTCCTCCCTGTGGGTGCCCCGCAGACACTCGGACTCAGTATGGGCAAGTACAGACACCCAGCATCCCCCAGGGCAGAAGCATCACTGACACCTCCCATTCATACCTGGACTAACCCCCAGGGCCTCCAGAGTGTCCCCCCTAAATAGTTCTCAACTCACTTAGTTCCCTCCACTTTCACCTCCAAAGCCCGGGTTCCCGCTCAGCCCCTCTTGGCTGTCACCCAAACCAGCACACCCACCTCCTTCCTGCTCTGCTCGTCCCCATCAATCCAGCCTCCACGCATCAGCCGGAGGAAGCTTCTCACCCCAGGCCCACCGACTCTGCCCTTGCCCTGCCCTGGCGCCCATCCCGCCCCAACCCCCACCCCCGCACCTGTGTAGCCATCTGGACAGTGGCACCGGAAGCCGTTGGGCAGGTCCTGGCAGCGGCCTTCGTTGAGGCATGGCCGTGAGGCACACTCATCCACATCCACGCCACATTCGTCCCCTGCAAGAGGGCCAGCCGTGGTTCCCACCTGGGCCCTCAGACCCAGACTGGAGCTGGAAGGGCCCGTTTTAGAGCTATGGAGACTGAGGCCCAGCGAGACGTGCTGATTCAGGCGGGTGGCACATATGTGGCAGGGCCAGGCCTCGAGCGGAGCCCTGGCATCCCTCCCCCCGCACCCACATCCTGGTGGACCTGCTTGCCTGGAAGGGTGGAAGGAGACTCACCCTCAAAGCCCGGAGGGCAGCGGCACAGGAAGCCGGCAGCGTGGCGGAAGCTGAAGGTGCCTGGGAAGGTGGCCCGGACGCCTCCGTAGAGCGCTGGGTCCGAGCGCTGCAGGCACTGCCCCCCATGCTGGCAGGGGCCCGACTCACACTCATCCTCATCCACCTCACACTGCTGGCCGCTGTAGCCTGGGGGCACGCGCGCGTGGGTAGCAGGTCACACGGGGTCACCGGGCAGCCCCCCTCCACGGAGGCCAGGCTGGAACGACAGCTCAGAATATGCTCACAGATATGGTGAGGGACGGATGCACCGAGGACGGTACGAATGACCATGGCACCTTCATCAGTGTGCTATTACTATTATTGCTAGTACTACTGAGCACTTTGCACGTGTCAACGCTTCACGGGCTTTACACCTTTACCCTCCTCGCAACAGCGCCAGGAGCAGGTGCTACGATTAGCCCTATTTTGCAGAACTCCGCAAAAGTGAAGTCCAGAGAAGTTGCAGCTACATGCACATGCTCCGAGGACAGGTGAGCCCCGGCGCACACCTCCCGCCCGTCCCAGACTGCGCCCGTGGGGAGCGGATACACACACACGCGCACGCGCACACACCTGGCCAGCAGAGGCAACAGAAACACGCACACGCACGCGCACACACACGCACACCTGGCCAGCAGAGGCAGTGGAAACACACACGCACGCACACACACACACCTGGCCAGCAGAGGCAGCGGAAACACGCACGCGCACACACACACGCGCACACCTGGCCCGCAGAGGCAGCGGAAACACGCACGCGCATGCGCACACACGCGCACACCTGGCCCCAGAAGCAATGGAAACACACACGCACGCTCACACACACGCGCACACACACCTGGCCAGCAGAGGCAGCGGAAACACGCATACGCACGCGCACGCGCACACGCACACACCTGGCCAGCAGAGGCAGCGGAAGCTCCCGAGGCCCTCGAGGCAGGACGCGTTGTTCGCGCAGGGCGCCGACGCGCACTCCAGCACCTCCTGCTCGCAGCGCGCGCCCTCGTAGCCGGTGTCCGCGCAGTCGCACCGGAACCTGGAGCGGGGCGCGGGGCGCCGGCTGAGCACGCCCGAGCCTCCACCTGCCCACCACCACGGCCCCGGGCTGTGTGCAGCCTCCTCCCCCCGCGTCGGGGCACCGGCCGCCCGCTCACCCAGCTCACCCGTTGACCAGGTCGTGGCACTGGCCCCCGTGCGCGCACGGCTGGCTCTGGCACTCGTCCAGGTCCAGCTGGCACCTGGTGCCCCCGTAGCCCGGCGCACACACGCAGCGGTAGGAGCCCACGCCGTCCAGGCACGAACCCCCGTGCAGACAGGGCGCCGAGGCACACTCGTCCACCTCCGCCTCGCACGTCACCCCTGGACAGGGCCGGAGACACAGACAGACAGATGGACACCCAGAGGGAGGACGAGAGAGGCTCAGGCAGGCCGACCCAAAACCAGCTTCAGGCGGCTACAAGGAGCGGAAACCCGAGGATGCCGCGAGAATCCGTCGGTCCATTCGTCCAGGGCAGGTATTTCTTGAGCCAGCAACGGCAATGGGGGTAGAGACCAGACGGCCGTCCCTCCCTCCCTCCCTGAGCTCACAGCCCTGTAGCTGGGGAGCCCGGGATTAGGTCAATATTACATAGATGCGGACTGATTTTTAACTGTGATAAGCTCAGCAATGGGAGTGAAGTGGATCCCCTAAAAGCCAGACCCAAGGTTCTGGCCTGGGGAATTGGAGTCAGGGAAGGCTTCTTGGAAGAAGAGCCTTTTGAAAGATGGTAAGCATTCACTAGATTGGGATGGGACTGTGCCAGCATTTGGCTTCCAGGCTGGGGAACTGGTCCAGAGCAGCTTGGGGCAGGGACATGGGGCCCTCAGAAAGGGGAGCGTGGAGGGTCGAGAGCAGAGGAGGTGAGGTGAGGCAGGGCTGGGGGCTGTGGTGGCCTTGGGGGCCCCAATCTGGGCTTGTCCTAAAAGTTGGAAGCAGCTGAGTTACACGATTCTGTCTACACTGTGGAAGGCTCACTCTGCCAGCTTTGAAGAGAGTGTAGAGAGGGATTCCATTGGGGAGGGACAGGCCCCAGCGAGAAACCAGCTCCTCCTGGTTTCCCCTGCACCTTCTTGCTTCTAAAACCCCAAGTCCGGGGAAGCCCCTCAGCCCTGGGCCAACTGAGACAGTTGGGCGGCCCTCAGGGGAGATGTGTGCAGATGAAGGGGGATGGAGAATCTCAGGGTTTGAGGAGGTACTGCCTGAGTTCATCCGGGGACCCACATGTCACGGTGGACTCCAGAGGCCCTGCCCCTGCCCCCTACGTGGGGTGGGTCCTGGGGGGGCTAGGGAACCAGCTGGCTCCAGCTGGAACCTGCCCCCTTCCCAGCTCAGTGAGCACGAAACACAGCCCCTCCTTCCTGTGACCCCTCAGCCCTCCCACCCAGTCCCACCCCCACCCTCTGTGCCAGGGGGAGCCGGGCCCTGGCCGCTTGGAATCCCAGCCTCCCCCGCCTGGCTCCGAACGGAAGGAGGAGGAGAGAAATGAGTCATGGCTGACTCTGCCCCCGCTCACATCCGCAACTCACCCAGAAAGTGTGACCCAGAGCGCCCGGGCACATCTGGCGCACACACCTGCTGGCACTCACACACCTCTGTTCCCACGGATGCGTTCAGGGAGCGCAGACATCCGCAGATAGAGGCACACACAGGCCCTTCGCCTGACCTCCCTCACACACACACACACAACTAACACTCCAGACACCGAGACTCTCAAATGGTGAGAAGGATACGTGGGACCCGTTTCCAGAGTCTGTTCCAAAGTGCCACGATCCATCTCTTCACTATAAGCTCCCTCCCCTGGGGCCCAGCCCCCCTCCCCACCCCCCCAGTGTGCAACCCCTGCTCTGAGGTGACCTCAAACTGCCTTCCGCCCTCAGAGCAGAGTTGTCTGAATTCAGGGTTGAACTAGAACCAGGAGTGTCTATACTGCAGTGCTCCCCACTGCCCTGGATGTAGCCTCTCCCAGACCTGTGCCCAGCTGCCCCTTCCTTCCTGGCTTCTGGACAGTCTCCCCGGGATGCTTCTGATTACAGCGTGGATGGGCCTGGGACAGGGCCATACCCTGGAGGAGAGAACCAGCATGTACGCATGCCAGTCTGTTCTGAGCCCTTGGATACCTTGTGTATACATTATCCACCCACTTGAGACAGCAGGGATCCCTGGGGTACATTCACGTTACAGTTTGAACAAGACCACCAGTGTCTCTCTGCTGGAGCTTTAGGGGCTACTCAGAGGGGAAGAGGGTCCACATTACAACCTGAACCATACCAGGGGTGTCCATACTCTAGAACCATCAGATGAGCCAGACGGTGTCTACACTACAGCCTGACACAGGTCTGGAGTGAGTAGATGCTAGAAAGACTGTCTAGACAGGTCCTCATTAAAGCCAAACCAGGCGTACTTGCACTCTGGTCCCACCAGAGATGCCTGGGGGTGTCTCCACCCCCAGCGCCAAACTGAACTCCAGAAGGGACTGAAATAACCTTTGTCCAGTATCTGTTAAATGTCAGGCACCAGGCGCACTCACACGCTTATACTGTCATCCAGAGCTGCCAGGTTAGCTCGAGAAGCATCCATTCTGTAGCAAGACCCAGAGCGGAATGCCCTGGAGCTTCCAGGATGTCTGGGGGTGTCTCTATACTAAAGTCAAAGCTGAATGCGTGATTTTACACCCTGAGCCACTGATGGGATGGACATTACGGGCCTCCTCCCAGGATGTGAGGCCATTACCTGCATAACCAAGGGGACAGCGGCACTCATAGCGATCAGCCAGGTTGTGGCAGGTGGCCCCGTGGCGGCAGGGCCGGGATGCACACTCATCGATGTCCAGCTCGCAGCGTGGGCCCTGGAACCCAGGCACGCAGTAGCAGCGAAAGCCATTGGGGTCTGGACCCTGGGGCAAGCACAGAGCGCCGTGGTGGCACGGCTGGGTGGCACAGCCCCGGGGCTTCATGGGCCCACAGGTGTAGCTACCATTCTCCATAGCCTGGCACTCGGTCCCTGGAGCACACGGGGCTGAGGCACAGACACTTGGGGTCTCCGAAGGCACCGTTCCTGTAAAGAGAGAAAATGGGCTGGGCAGGGTGGACCAGGATGTTTCCCTTCCCACCCTAGGGCCCACCCCAGACCCCAGAGCCAGAAAGCAGCATGGGCCTGTCTGTATTCAGGAGGATGGAAGGAGGGCCGGGGCTCTGCAAGCCACATCCCCACAACCCATGCACAACTACAGCCGGAGCTGAGACTGGTTCAGGAGGGTCTCCATGAAGAGGAATGGGACCCGGATGTTTGCGGCCCCCCCTCCATGCCCCAGTAGGATTAGAGGACAGACTCTCTCTGACCCTGGGAGCTTTGCGCTCTGCTGGCTCATCCCCTCCCAGCAGAGCCCCTTTGGGGCAGGCACTGTCGTGCCCATTTTATAAGAGAGCAAATTGAGGCTCAAGCAAGAAAGTGAAGACTTTTTTTTAAGATTTATTTATTGGGGTGTCTGGGTGGCTTAGTCATTGGGCATCTGCCTTCAGCTCAGGTCATGATCCCAGGGTCCTGGGATCGAGCCCCGCGTCGGGCTCCCTGCTCCGCGGGGAGCCTGCTTCTCCCTCTCCCATCCCCCTGTTCCCTTTCTCACTGTGTCTCTCTCTGTCAAATAAATCAATAAAATCTTAAAAAAAAAAAAAAAGATTTACTTTTTTCATAGAGAGAGAGAGCACAAGCAGGGAGTGAGAGAGGGAAAAGCAGACTCCCTGCTGAGCAGGGAGCCCGACGTGGGGCTCCATCCCGGGACCCTGGGATCATGACCTGAGCGGAGGGCAGATGCTTAACCGGCTGAGCCACCCGGGCGTCCCGAGAGTGAAGACTCTTGCCTGAGGTCTCATGGCAAGTTAACACTGGGACAGCCTTCAAGCCTATCACATGTTTCAGCCCTCCCCCACCCTCCCAGAAAGGGGGTCTTCTCTGGGTCTCCCCTTCTGCAGCTCCGTTTCCTCCCCCTGGGGGGGGGCTCCTCCCACTGTCCCCTCCACCTCTCCTGCTAGGGGTCTGGCAACTCCATCCCCGGGTGAAACCGGAGATGGAGGACTTCAAAGACAGCGACTGGGAGCTGGGCCCCCCTCCCTGTCCTTCCTCCCAGCCGCCTCGGGCCTAGAAACCTCTCTGGGAATCCCTGGCCCTCACGGTATCCCCTGGCCTCAGCAATTGCCTGACCAGCTGGCCTGGCCAAGGTCACAGGGTGCAGAGCAGGTGTTGAGACCTGCTGACTGACAGCTGGCTCAGGCCACTGCTGCCTCCACCATGCTAGAGGGTCACCTGCTAGTCTGGAAGCCAAGCCACGGGGAGGGCCAGCCCCCTACCCTCCTGAGAGCCTGTAGCGCTGGTTAAGAACTTAGGCTTTGAAGTAGAACTGCCCTGGGCTCAGATCCCTGCTCAGTTAGTGGCTCTGAGACCTTGAGCAGGTCATTTCTCCTACTGAGCAGCCTCTGTCTCACACGGGAAAGGGGATGGTAACAGGGCATGCCTCACGTGGGAGGATTCAAAGCCTCAGGTACTGCCGTTGGCCACTTGCAGGACCTCAGTAAGGGCTGGGGGAGGGGAACCACCCACGAGCAGGAGGCACCCCCAACCTGGGGCTCTGCGAGGCGCCCCTCCCCTGCCCATGTTGTCATCCAGACACTACCCAGGCCCAGAACAGCTTCAGGCCCTGCACCTCCCTTCCCCCACCTTGGTGAAGACCCCCAGATAAGGCTCAGCGTCATCCACATTCCACCAGGCAGGGCCGTCCACTGGCCGACCCCCACTCTTCCCAGCCAGGGCCCAGCAGGACGGGGGACAGGGATATGGAGACACAGACCTCGGCCCCAGGGAGAGAACCTGACTGCCACCACCGAGTGCCCAGAGCACCCGGTATGGCTCGGGCATGTGCTCACTCGCTCCCCGATGGGGGGCCCCGGCGCCCAGCCAGGGCTAGGCACATTGCAAGGGGGCAGAAGGTCTGAAACACTGGAAGGCCAAGATGACCCCTAGGGCTCTAGTGTCCACAGCCCCTCTCTGACCACAGTTCCCTCCCCAGCTCAGGGCCCCCATCCCAGCCCTCTCTCTCAGGCCAGGTCATGTAGGAGCGGGCCGAGGTGTCTGGGCCTCTCGGAGGGGCTTCTGCGCAGCTCATCTTTCTTTTTCCCACCCCAGCCACTGTGGCTGATCTGTTTAGAGCCACATCCTTTAGGGCTAGATGGCCAGATGAGGGTGGGAAGATAGTCTGATGGCGGTGGGAGTGGATCGAGCTCCCTTAGGAAGGGACAGAGGTTTGGGCATCAGAAAGGCCTGGCTTCTGGAGTTTGAACAGTGCCACCTCATGGGGTGCTGTGAGGAGCCACTGAGGGGACAGGAGTGAAGGCCTGGCACCCAGTGAGCCTTCATGAAGGGCTGTGGCCATTTTGATCAGGGTCCCTCAACCCAGCACAGCCCAGGACCAGAAGACAGTAACCATAGCCTCCACTCTGAGGAGCCCTGGCTGCCAGGTCCTGCACCAGGCGGCCCTTCATTTAATGCCAACAAGGCACTGCTCCTCATCTGTGGGGCCTAAGGGACCCCACCAGAATCTGGGGCTTTGCCCCCAGTTCAGAGCCTTCCATTTCAGAGCAGCTGGGACCAGGCTGGGGAGACAGGGCATGGGGGAAATGGGCCAGGCGCTGCATCGCCATGGGAGCAGGCGGCCAGTGACCCTATACGCCGGCACCCCCACGGAGTCCAGCGGCAGGGGAGGAAGGGGCTCCTGCAGTCAGAGCCAGGCGGAGAGGGAGGGAGCTGCCTATCCCAAGAGGCACGCAGTAGCACCAAAAGCCTGGATGGGAGAGACAACCCTTTTTCTTGTGTACTCCCAGTTCTCTTCATGTTTACCTTAGGAGATGGATAGTGCTATTATTCCTGTTCTACAGCTGACGGAAGGGAGGCTCAGAGATGAGGGGACCTCACTGTCCCACAGCCTGTGAGGGGCTGGAATCCAGACCCAGGTCTCGCTACTCCAGAGCCTTCACCCCTGGGGTTCTTGAACCTCCGGCTTGTATTAAGAATACAGATTTCTGGGGCATCTGGGTGGCACAATCGGTTGAGCGTCTGACTCTTGGTTTCAGCTCAGGTCATGATCTCAGGGTCGTGAGATCGAGCCCCGTGTCATCGGGCTCCACGCTCAGGGGGGAGTCTGCTTAAGATTCCTCCTCCCCTCTAAAATAAATAAATAAATCTTAAAAAAGAAAAGAAAGAAAAGCAAGGAAGGAAGAATACAGATTTCTGGCCCCCCACTCCAGACCTAGAGATTCAGAGCTGTCGGGCCTGGGCCCAGAGAATCTGCACTGCAGCATGCTCCCTTGGAGAATCCTTTGCACCTGGAGGCCCGGGAACCGCTGGCCTCAGTCCTCTGTCCGGCAGGAGTGAGACCAGAAGGCCAGGCTAGCCCTGGGCTGAGAGGCAGGGAGGTGAGGGCAGTAGGGCGGGGGGAAGGGGGGGGGGGCCTGGGCCAGGCTGGGGGGCGTGGCCTGTTGCCAGGGTGACGAGGGGCCTGTGCTTATCTTTACAAATCCCTCCTGACCTCTCAGGAGGTCCTGGCAGGGGAGGGATTAACTGACACACGCCCCTCCCCTTCGACCTGCTGCCCCGTCCCCGGGAAAGGCCCATATCCCACCACCGGGAGGGAAATTCTCTCCCCAGAGAGAACGATCTTACTATGATAACAGCAACTATTTACTGAGTGCACACTATGGGCACCAGGCCGCGCCACACATCTTGCCTCTATGTTTACATGATGGCAGTTGATTCAAGCCAGGAAAGGTGGGTGCTGTTTTCTAGCTCAGAGAGGTTATAAACTTGCCCCAAATCATCCCTCAAAAAACTAAGAAGCAGGTTATCTCCTCCAGACTTCTGGAAGGTGCACATCTCCCAAAGCATGTGAAATTCCCACTCTGCAAACTCTACATTGCCACCCATGCATTGTCATCTTAGTGCATTCCAGCCCAGCCTTCCCCGGGCACTGGAAAAAGTCTCTGAAGGTTGGCACAAGGGTGGAGGTTCCAGGGTGGGCCTGAGCAGAGTGGTCAGTCTTCCCTCTTTAACCAGAACCGGGCTGTTGGCAGTCCCACTGTGCTTTGGGTCCCACTCAGTGCCTAGTAACTCCTACTTTATGTGCACTTATAACGGGCCTCGTGGTAACTGCTAACAACTGAGGGGAAGTGTTTACTGAGGGTGAATTTTGAGAAGCTTCTTGTCTTGACCTGGCAAGAAAAAGGATATTTCTAAGAAGTGGCCCGAGATCTTGTAAGATGTGGGAGCTTCTGACATAGGGGCAAACACTGTTCATCTAATCTCACTAGGCCCCAAGGACAGGAGTGACTACCCACTGCCTCAGAGCCACCAGGAAAGGGCTAAGTTACTCTAACAAGATGGGACAGTTTGGAATACTCTTCCACAAAAATGTTTACGCCCCGCCCCCAGGATAAAAGAGGGGTCAGTATTGATAATTTTGGTAACAGTAGTGGTGACAGTGACTGCCAGGATTCGCCGCCCACCCCGTGCCTGGCACTGGCCTATCCTAGTGTTTCCAGACTTCGGTCTCAGAGCCCAAGGCCATGGCGACACTTCCCTGCGGAGGGTAAGACAGACCTGGTGAGGCTCTGCCACCCAAACAGGCCACTTTATGAGTGGTCTCCGGTATAAAATGTCCTTGGAAACTGGGGCTTGCAGGCCAAACCTGAGCTGGAGAACCACTGTGTTTTCCCATCAAATTCTCGGGATGCCCTCAGAGTTAGCTCGTTGGCCCCCTGAAGGGGCAAAGGCGCAGAGAAGGGATGGGGCTTTAATAGGCTGGTACGGAACACACTAGCTCCGCGACTCTGGGCAAGTTCCTGACCCTCTCTGGGCCTCATTTCCTCCTCTGTAATGGGGGTGTTGGAGCTGGTCTCACAGCGCAGCGGGGAGATCCTCAGTCCGTCATGTGGGGCGCCCGGCTGGCTCAGTGGTAGAGCCTGCAACTCTCATACTCAAGGGTGTGCATTCAAGCCCCGTGTACTTTAAAATCTTTAAGGGGCGCCTGGCTGGCTGCGTCGGTAGAGCATGGGACTCTTGATCTTGGGGTTGTAAGTTCAAGCCCCGTGTCGGGTGTAGAGATGACTTAAAAATGATAAATAAATTTTAAAAATCTTTAATAAAAACAACAACAGCAGCAAAAACCAAAGTCCATCATGTGAGTCCATTAGCATAGTATCTTCCAGGGGGTGGCTGGTGGTGCTATTTATTCATTGACCGACAAACATTTACTTGGAGCAAACGCTGTCTAGCCAACCAGTCCTGGATGCTGGTCCACATGTGTGTGGCGCCCCACTCCGTCCCTGCCTCCCTGCCTCCGTCCCACAGCCTCCCCCCTCTCCAGGCCTGGTGGAAGGAGGGGCCAGACGCGGGGACGGGAATGGAACCGCTGCTCTTTGTCAGCCAGGCTCCCGGGCTGTGAGAGCCCAGCATGCCCCATTGTACTCTGAGATGCTTGGTCCGCTCCACAGAAACCAACCAGGCTTTTGTGGCAGAGTGGGCCCAGGATGGAGGGGCTCAGCTCAGGGCCTGGCAGGCCTGAGTGGCAGAGCCAGGGGCCCAGGGCTTCCAGAAACCCAATCCCCTTGGGGATGGAAATTACTTTTCAGGTGACACCACTGTCCCCAACCCCTCTCCTCCTAGCAGCCAGGCCTCGGGTGCTGGTATCCAGAAGTGCTCAGGCCCACAGTGCCCTCACCCCTGGCGCTTTTGAGGATCGCCAGGGAGGGGGCTCCCTGCACAGAAATCATAGTGCGAAAGGCTGCCCCTGGACACCCCAGCAGGTGGGATGGGGATGAGCGTGTCCCTCAGCGGCCACTTTTTCTGTGGCATCCATCTCCTCTGTGTTCACTCTGCCCCACGGTTCACGTGAGCGTGTGTTTGAGTGTGAATGCACATGTCGCTACCCACACACTGGTGTGTGCGGGCACCCATCACATACCCATAGGAGTGTGTGTGTATGCGTGTGAGCGCACGTGCCTGTAGCCCTGTTCACATGGCAGTGGGGTGTGCCCTTGTGCCACACCAGCGTGTGGGGGTGTGTGTTTGCAGGTGTGAGTGTGCACATGGTAGAGCAGGGGGCAGATAGCAGATCCACACACCAGGATTTTATGCCCCTTGTGGGCAGAGAGCAGGCCCTCCGCTCCTCTCCTGAGCCCCAGATTTGCGTCAGGAGCCCAGCTCCTAAGCCCCCATCCCTGCCTGAGCCTCAGTGTCCTCCACTATAAAATGGGGTCCTCATCCTCCCCGGGGGCCCTTCAGGGAGGAGGAGATGAAAGCGTTGTGAGCCAGGCCCCATGAATGGGAAGGAGGGCCCCAGGTAGGGGTCTGGGGAGGCCTGACCTCCCACCCTGGGAGTCTGAGGGCTGGGTCTCCCCGCAGCCGGCAGTGAAGTCCAGGCCACCAGCCCTGGTTGGCTCCCTCCTCCAGCAGGGGAGGCGGGGTCGGGGGACTTCCCAGGCCTGGCCCCGTAGCTATAGTGACCAAGACAAAGCATCCCCCAGACCCCCCAGGAAGAAGTCCAGGCTGCCTGTGCACACGTGAATCCTCTCGGACAAAAGCAAAACCGTTTGGCGAATGGGGTCTGGCTTAGGAAGCCCTTTCAACTGGGTCTGGGAGTGCTGGGGAGGGGACAGCGGTGGACACACGTGCTCCCAAGTGCCTGGCCACCCCCCAGGGGCCCCAGAGCACCCCTAGCCCCCAGTGCAGGCAAGGGAACACACACGTGGAAGGGATGCAAGTAGACGCCCGGCTCCCCTGGCCTCCTTCCCCCTCCCCACAGCGATCTACTGGGCGGGGGTCTGCTGCCCCCACCCCGGGTACCCCTGTCGAGAGCTAAGACACAGTTCAACCCACGTGACAACTTACGTCCCACAACTTGTGCTAGGACACAGCCCACCACACCCAGAAAGCCCCAGGTAACGACTCACGGCTCACCCGGCTCACAACTTTAAGGCACCCACAGCCCAGCGCCCATGCACAACAGACTCTGGAATGAGGCTCACACTACCTGCAGCTCCCCACGCTCAGGCCTCAGCCCGGGACTTCCCAGCCCCAACACCCCTCCCAGGCCACACCGCCCATCCCACAACCCCTTCACAAAGGCCCCCATGCCACACAGCAACCCCCACGGCCCAGGACACACTCCCCTGCATGCAAGGTGGCCTGCAGAGCACACCCCTCTGCACCCACATCTTGGCCTGCGCCCAGCCCCGTAGTAGGGCCTGGCACCCACACAGACAGCCCCAGGGCCTGGGGTATCTGCTTTGGGAGACAGACCCTGCCCCAGTCCGCCCCCCCCCACCCCCACCCCAAGGCTTATGCCCCAACTCACCACCCAAGAGGGTGAGGGCAGGAGCCAAGAGCAGCAACCGCAGCGGGAGAGGGGCCAGGGGCCTGGAGGCCGGGGTCCCAGGCCTGGCCAGCGCCATGGCAGCGCGCTCAGCTCCCGGCTGTGGGAACAGGCGGCCTGGCTGGCTCGGCACCCCCCTCTCCCTCCAACCAGCACTAATGCCGTGGACAGAGGCCCGGCCCCTCCCTCCCTCCCCTCCTGTCTCCTCCCCCACCGCAGGCCCTCCCAGGCTGCTCCGCCGGGAGCGGATTCTAGAGGAGGGGTCTGACCCACCCCATCTCCGCAAGCCCCAGGGCTCCAGACAGGTTTCAGGGGCCCCTGCAGGTCTGACCTGATCTTCGTGCACCCCCACCCCCACCCCCAGGCCCGCTCCCGCCTCTCAGGTCCTGCTGCCTCAGCCTCCTGGCTGGGGGGGATTTCTCTTCTTTTCCCCAGATGATGCCAGCTACTCCCAAGTCCTAGGTTATCCCACCCTGCTGGACACGCCCCCATCTCTTCTCAGCCTGGGCCCCCCTCCCCAGCCCAGGCCCGAGCAGCCAGCAGCCTCCCAGACCTCCTCTCTGTGCAGAAGCCCCAGCCCTTCCCACCCAGCTTGTTTCCTCCCGGTGCTCCCCACCTGAACAAGGTACCCCTACCCTGCAACCAAAGCCCCCTTCCCCTCCCCACACTCAGCCCACCAGCTCCTGGTGGCTCTTCCTTCTCACTGTCTCTTAATCCCATCCCTCCCCTAGACCTAACAAATGACCCCTCCTGGTGTGGCCCTCAGGTGGCCCCTGGCTCCTTCCACCCTCACCGCTCCCTCACCAGCCAAACTGCCCCTTTTCCATTTCTCCCCTTTGGCCTATATCTTTGCCTCTGCCATTTGCAACTCTGGAAACCTCACTGCAATCCAAGGCAGCCCACTCTACTGAATGGCAGTTCCAACTAAGCAGATTTTCCCGCTCCCCTGCTGGGAAGTCCTTCTTGTTGTCTAACCTTACAGTCTCTTGCTGCACTTAATGTTTGCTTGCTGCAGGCTGGAAAGGGGAATGTTGTTTACATGGGGGGGCGGTTCTTTCGGGGACCTGGACCCAGGAATCCAAGCCATCTCAAAGCCACTACAACATCAAAAAGCAGCCCATTTTTTCCTCCCCTGCCCTCAGCTCCAGGGGAGGAAGAAACCCTTGCTGAAAGGACTTTCTGAAGCTAGCCACTGGCTTCTGCCAATGCACCCCATTTGGTTCAATTCAGTGATCACAGACTCAGGCCACCGAGAACCTGTGCTGGGCTCTGGGATGTGCCCTGACACCCAGAGGGCGCAGTCTGGAGAGACGGACCTGAGCCGTGCATGAGGGAGCTCAGGCCGTGCTAGCAGGTCCATGGAAAAGCAGGGAGAAGGGCAGTGGGCATCACACAGCGCATGGGTGCCCCATAGCCACACTGTGCTCCGACCCTGGCAAAGGGAGCCAAAGACCTGGGTGGACCCCTCGTCCACATCCCACGCCATCCCCACCTGGAGTCTTGTTTCCGCTGGGGTCGGAGGTGCTCCTTGGTCTCTGGGACCCTCCTCACTCCCAGACCACCTTTAATTCCCTGCCTCTCAGGTACCAGGATCTCCCCACCACCACCAAGCCCCTCTCTACTCTGTGAGAAAAGCACAGACCCCACAGCTAAACAGATCTCAGTTTGAGCACAGCTGTACCACTGATTGGCCGAGTCATCTCAGCACGTGACTTCCTTCCATGGGCCTCAGGTTCCTCCTCTGTAAAATGGAAATAACAGTTCCCACCTTGTAAAGCATTAATGAGCTGAAGCGGCAGTACAACTTCTGTCTGTTCTGTGTCTCAGAGGTTCCCGAGAGGTCCAAGCAGCCCGGGGAGCGGCGCACAGGAGGACGACAAGGCTCCCACGGCCCCGCAGGTCTCCGGACACAGACATCCGCGCTTCTGCGCTGAGCCCTGAGGTCAAAAAGACTCCAGTCCAAGCTCCCACCCGCGCCCGCGCCCCAGTCCTGCAGCCGCTGTGCGCCACCTTGTGGCCAGACCCGGGAGTGTCCTGCGAGGTCTGGAGGGCGCTGGATGGGCGGAGGTGGACAGGGAGGGAGGGATGCAGAAACTCAACAGCGCGGGCGCGGGAGCCCCCGAAAGCGAGAAGGGGCAGGCCGGGGAGACGCGGCTCGGCAGGAGGCCGAGGTCAGACGGGGCAAGCCGTCCACACGCATTCCCCGTTAGGGTCTGGAGAAGAGACAGTGAGTGGGTCAGCCCCAATGCGGAGATCCTCCCCCCTTGGGGGGCAGGTGTGAGGAAGGGGAAAGGGGACCTTCTTTTACCCCCCTCAACAACACAGCGTTGTCCCCATTTTACAGATGAGGAAACGGAGGCTCGGGGAGGTGAGATTGGCTGCTGGGGTCCCACAGCTGGTCTGTGCGGGGGCAGGATTCGAACTCGGGGCTGCCTGACACCGGCCCTTTCCACTCCTTGAATCTTTGACTCCAGGTTGAGTAGGTGCGCTCAGTAATCCACTCTGCTCGGGAATTATTTGCTGACATCCTGGTCGAGGGCACCCAGCACCTCCGGAGCCGAGGGAGATGTGACAGGAAAGCTTGGTGCTGGGCAGCCCCAGCTTTGGCATCAGCCCCGCTTTGTATGAATCCTGATTCTGCTCTCTGCCCTTAACGCAAGGTTTTGTCGGTCTGTTTTACTTCTCTGGACCCTCGTTTCCCCAAGTGTAGGTTGGGATAACAGTACCTGCATCACAGTACTCTGAGGATCTGAGGAGTGGGCAATGGCCACCAGGTGTTGGTTGGGGGGAGGGGATGGCTCCCGGGGCTGCACCCCGCTGAGGAGACTTCCAGGAGAGATGCCTCTGGACTCTTCCAAGTGACGCCTGCCCTGGATCTCCCCCCGCCCCCCACCAAGCCTGCATCTCCCTTCTCAAGGACCCCTCCTCCCCCCCCCCACTGATCCCCAAGGACTTCCTTCCCTCTGGCTTCCAGGAAGTGGCCTGTGGAGGCAGGGCAGGAGAGATGAGGGAGGGAGGAGGGGAGGGCCCGGGGGTATTTCCGCGCCCGCCAGCTCCAACCTGAGGCCCCTCTGTTGCTTCAGCTCTCACCAGCTCAGGTAACCGTGTTCCCATTGTGGCCAAGTGGGGCCACCTGCAGCCCTGACCTCCTGATCTCTCAGAGGCCTTCGCCACTGTCACCCACTCCCTCCTTCTTGGAACCGTTTCCCCTGGCTTCCCTCCTCTGTCTTCCCGGCTGTCCCTTGCTCGCTTTCCTCCCCAAATGTTGGGGTGCATGGGGATCTGCTCCCATCCCCCTGCCCTTCTCACACCTCCTTCCCTGGGTGAGCCTGTTGATGCCTGTGAGCTCTCTGCCCGTGGTTCTTAACTGTTTCAGTTCCCCCTTGACAGATATCTCAAATCACCCTTTATTCCCCTGAAATGAAATGGCATACGTATGCATATAATTCCCCAAGGAGAACCATCCCAGCGCCCTAACTGAAATATCAGAATGAACCATTATAGGCTAATGGTGAAGTGCACAAACAGTGGTTCAAATCCTGGTTTCTCTACTTTCCAGCTGTGTGGCCTTGGGTAAGTCCCTTAACCTCTCTGTGATTCAGCTCTCCAGTAAAAAAAACGGGGGGATTTTTTTCCTCTATGTAGCACTTTGCTGGGTAGAGTTGTTATGAGGATTAAGTGAGTAATTATTCATGAAGTATTTAAAACAGTGCCTGGCACATGCTAAGAGCTAAGCGAGTTCTGATTAAACTAATAAGGAAAGTAATTTAAGAGGGGGTGTGTTTCAAGTTGTAAATACTTTTATCGACTACACTAAAAAACATGCTAAAATAGCAAGACACTTGTACCTACATAGAGCCCCCTGAATGTGACAGCCCCGAATGCGGACTGGTGAGGAGACTGTCAAGCTGGCAATTCAGATACCACAAGTAGTGTTGACATTAAGTATATAATTTTCTGAAATGGTGACAATTCTGGGTAAGGTTCTGTACAAGATAAAGAGCAGTCTTCTTTCAATTTACATGGAAGCCGTATTTCTGGCAATTTCAGGGTATGTTGAAATTCAGAGCATTCATACAAAAATGCACAAGACTTGGGCTCTTGCTCAGACACAAACAGGTGTTTTTTCCTCTACTTCAATGTCTGGTAGAACATTCCAGAGTCAAAGGGCATATGGGACATTCTTTGTGGTTTGGACTGTTCTGCACATCGCAGGGTGTCCAGAACCCTGGGCCCCACCACTAAATGCCAGCCGTGGGCCCCAGTCATCATGAAAATAGACAGCACCCCCTAAAGTTCCCCCCCAGAAAGCATCCAGGAGGCCCCTGGGTTCTATACCAACTGCCAGACTTTTCCAGATCCCAAATTGTGTCTCCTGCTTGTTGACTTCCAGTTACCCTCAGGCCAAGTTCAAATTCCTGAGCCTGATGCCTAAAGTCCTCATAATTGAGCTTCCTCCTTACCTTCCCACAGATGCGGATGCATATCATCAGGCCCCACCCTCTCCCCTCCCCACTACGCTCAGCTGCTACGCCTTCCCCCTATTCCCAACACACACACACCACACACACCACACACACACACATACACACCACACACACACACACACACACACACACACGTGCGCGCGCGCGCGCGCGCAGAATTGTTTTTTTGCGGTTAAGTCTTCGCTCCCGTGCCCGCTCCCTGGAAAGCCCACCGCTCCTCCCTCCGCCTGGTTGAATGCCGTGCTGATAAAACCTTGCCAATCCTTTAAGACCTGGCACCCCCTCCTCAGGGCAGCCTCAGTGCCCCCCAGGCTTGGCTGGGGCCTCTCCTGTGCTCCCGCCAGACCTGTGGGCTTCCCCAGTTGACCTCAGCACCGAACATACCCTGTTCCAGTTGCCAGTCTCCGTCTTAGGAGGTCTGCACCATCCTAAGGCAGAGCACATAGCAGGTGAGAGCCATTCAGCCTTTGGCCTTCAGAAGCTCACATCTAGTGGAAAGGCAGACACATGGACAATGCTGGGAGACACTTGCTCAGGGCCTGGTGGGAGCTCCAAGGACAGACAGGCCAGCAGCCAGAGGGCACCTTCCCAGAGGAGGTGGAACCTTGGGGTGTGGATAGTTTTCCAGGTAGAGAGGAGGCAAAAGGCTTACCCGGCTGAAGACT